TTTTTTTTTTTTTTTTTTTTTTCAGGAGCTCTGTGTACACAGGACTGCGGAGTTGGGCGAACGCGGTGGACATGTGACATGTGTGCTCAGCTACGAGCCGGGAAAATACTCTTTTGCTCGAGTCGTTTTAAAAGAAATAATACAATATTTGTACGTCGTATGGTGATTTTTCTTCAGACCTTTTGTTTTCCAGTAAATTGAAAAAATTATAGATCCCCCGTTACAAGAATGTCCATATTTATGACCACCAAGTGCCCACTGATGACATAAAGTTCTCATTCGCTCCTTCAACTATATATATACGCCTCGTCACTGTAACCCGCTGTTTATCCCCCCACGCGATTACATGCGTGTTTACGAGACTCGAGAGAGAGAATTACGCAATACCCGCGTCCACGTGCAGCATATATATGTACTTTTGCACGTATACGAAATAAAGTGGAGGGAATTGAGAGGAGGGGAAAGGCGCACACGACCTCCGACCGCCGCTGGTGCGTTGAGCTTTCGCTCCTCTTTTTCATTGACTGCGACCACAGGAACCACCGACTGGTATACACGTGGAAAGATGTGGAGCAAAGGGGGAGGGAAGCCACGACGTCATTGACGCGGCAGCGCGGCACGCGTTCTCCTCTCCTGAGTGAATGAGGGAGCGTTGCGTGTATACCTACTTAGTATCTACGATGTAGTACAACTTTGCCGAGAGAGAACCGAGCGAGTGGACTCTGCAAATACCGGAATGCCATTCTTTCCCACTCTTTTATTTTATGCGTGCGGTTACGTTAGGTGCGACGATGGATGTACCTACTGTCGAGGCTCTGAATTTTAATAAAGATTATGATTTCAACGTGTATTTTTTAATCACTTCAATGTTGATTTTGAAATCATTTAGACAGAATTTTAGATGTCAACGCCACGCATTTTTCGTCTTTGGTTTTTTCCCGAGTACCGATGCGACACAAGCGCTATAGACAATTCAAACTGGAACAGCATAGGTGCTTGTTCTTAGTGTGCTCTGTGCACAGTAAAAGCGCGTCATGGAAATGCAAAATGCGCCAAAGAGAAACTTTTTTATCTACTTATATTGTTGTGTAAAGAAAGTTGATGCGAAAAAAAACTCCATACTGTCGGGTTATTTTTAGAAACCGTCAATACACATGTTTACAAAAATCTTCTTCATATCGCACTGAAGTTTATGCAAACGCCAATTTTTATCTGCTAAAAGAAAGGAAAGCAACAAAAGCATTTCCCTGATCCTGTACCCCCATTTCGTTTGAAAAAAAAAAAAAAAAAAGTACAAACACGGGCTAATAAACGCTTTTGCCATTACAGCGTACTCGTCCGACCATGTCCTGGATGTATACTCTGCCCCAGAATTTTATTCGTGCGATGATAAGTTTACGCTCGTAAAATTGCGCTAATTGCACCCTTTCTCCCTCCCCCATTCACCTACGCGTGGTAATGAAATGTTATACGCGACATTACTTTTTAATCATGATTCACGCCGCTATTGTTGCACTCAAGTTTTATATTCGTACGCAAAATACAAAAAAAAAAAAAAAAGGACTATAATAATCCTTAATGCTCTCGTATACTTTGCGGGATGGAGGCCATAAAGAATATCCACGACCTTAAATTACTCGTTTCTAACGCACATGTGATATACGTACGTGGGAATTAACATATAAACAAATACCTGCACGCGTAGGCAAAAATTTTAGGGCGCGTAATAATTCAAACTTAACTTTTTTGCCGCTCGGACCGTTTGTTGTCTTTTTTTCTTTTTCCCTCAAGTAGACTTATGAAAAAAAAAAAAAATAAATAAATAAAAAAAAACCAGAAGAGCAGCTCTTTGGTATATTATGTACGTACAGTTTGGTAATTTGAGTGTTGCACTTTTATTAAAGCGATCTCTTTTACCCCATGCGAAGGTAGTGGTATCAATGTATCGGTAATTCAAGAAAACTCCGTGTTTTGAAAACTTTTTTTTGCTGAACAGCTATATCATACTTTAACATGAAAAAATTCAGTAGACAACCACTGAAAAGGAGTAGAGAAAAAAAACTTTGTGCGTCTATTTATGCGCGCCCAAGCAATTCAAACTCACAAAAACATCCATCCAAACCACTTTTTTAAGTATCCTGACCGATAAAATTTTCCAAAAACTCATGGTCGACCCCCTAAAAAATCGGTAGGTATCGATTAAATGTTTCCAGAGCCCCGGCCAAATCGTCCACTAGCCACCGCTTAGGGGCTGCGTCCCCTTTGTCTCCCCCTCGTTGTTTTTCAAGTCGCGATAGGGAGTCGGACCTTCGTTAACTCAGGGATCAAACCAAACTCCCCGAACGCGAGGCCACCTCTTTTCCCCTTTACAAACTCGTGTCCGTTTGCTCGCTCGTTTTAATCGCCCTCCTGCGTCCCGCTGGTGTTTTTTTTTTTTTTTTTGTTTCTTTTAAACGTAGAGAGAGAGAACAGTACGACGCGTATACGTGAGTCCGCGAGTCACGACAAAAGTTTTATAGAAAATGCCTTATGCCTTTTACAGCATGTTTGATTAAACAGTATAGTTTGTTCTTGTACACATACAATACAATGTAACTTACAAATTAAATTTCTCACATTTTTTTAGCAAGTTCCTGGTTTATTCATGTTTGATGGTGTTTACTGTTTTGTTTTCACTTCGACTTGAAAATTACATAGAATGGAGCTACTGGGCAGTGTTTACCCCATTATGGTTTTGGAAAAGTATGGTGATATTGGGTGCTACTGTCGGCAGTTACATATGGTGGAGGCATCCACATTCTCGATTAGAAGGGGATGCATATGTTCACTACAAAGCAATGCTTATTACACTTGCATTACACTTAATTTTACTGATGTTTGAATTGCTTGTGTGCGATCAATTGGAATCCAAGAGACATTTGTGGATTTTAGTGTTCATACCTTTAATTTTTATCTCCATTGTGTCAATAGCAGTGAGTACTTTTTTCGTTAATATGGTTATGAATCTCATTAATTGATGAATTAGCTAAAGATTACAAAAATTAATGTCTCCTGAAAATACTTATATTTATAGGCAAGATAATCATTGGAATTATTCATTTTAGGTATGTATCTGGGCTGTGAAACATGACAGGTCATTCGAACTTGAATTGTTTTGTGCAGTCAACGTTTTGCAGTTCATCTTTCTTGCCCTCAAATTAGATAAGTTTGTTTCATGGAGTTGGGAAGTGGTGTTTGTTCCACTTTGGGCTCTTTTGTGTTTGTCCCTTGTCGCAGTCTTATATGCCATAGTATTTGCTGCTGTTTTATTGAGGACACCACAAATCAATGCTAGACAGAGGAGAACCTCATTAAATTCGGCCTTAGCATACACGTTTTTAGTTGTTCCAGTATTAGTATTTCAAGTAAGATTAACAATGCATTTTTTATTCAAAACTTTAATGCAATTATTTTCAAAATAAACTAATTCTGATGACAAATGTTTTTCAAAGGTGATGCTAGCAAACAAATTAGATGGTGACCTTAATGTTAGGTATACGACAATAGCGATACCACTATTACTGTCACACGTCACACTTATTTGCATGTCTTTTGGAGCTAAGGGAGGAAATAGATGTAAGTAAATTTGAAAAAAATCTTTCTTTTTTTCATGCTTTAAGTATTCTACCATGTAACATTTATTACACATTATTTACTTAGGGTGGTTTGGAATCAGAAAAGATTTCTGTCATTTTCTTTTAGGGCTGTGCCCTATTTTACAAGAATATGGGAACATTTCGTATCAACCTAGAAGCGCTCAAGATCAACCAGAATCCATTGTTTTTGAGAAGAATGGAAAGAACCTCAAGAAGAATGATTCAACAAAGCCTGTTGAGCCAATAATATCCATAGATATGCCAGATTGATTGCATTGGCTGTAAATATGTGCAAATAAATTTATATGGAATAATCTGTGGGAACACATTTTGTTCTCAAAATAAATTTTCTACTGTGGTTACTTCTAAGATCTATGAGTAACGAAAGGTGTGACATAACAAACTTTCAAAAAGAAATGAATTCGACGACTTGAAGTTAAGATTGCAGATCAAGATTGCCAGTCATTTTTGCACGAGAGGCAACAATTATGTCAAAAATAGTTTTTACTGCCATATAACAAATGTAACCCACTCCTTTCTAATTTCCACCATGAAAATCATTGAAAGTTCATCTTTTGGGTCATTTGTTATGCTTTTTGATTACCCCAGCTTTTGAAAAACAGGACCCATATATGTATATGTATAGAAATAAAATCCATTAGCTTTATTTTTTAAATCACTGGTTTGTAGAGTAATTTTCTCTGTAACGTGTCAACTTGTTTGATGTTTGAATTTCTTCATGAAATAGTATAAGTCGCATAGCGCTTACGAAAGCTTTTGACTAATTCTCAAAAAAAAATTCACGACTGCCTTTAGAACAACTTGAATATTCTCAAGGAAAGTGGCAAAATTTATTATTTTACGTATTTCCTCTGTGTGAGCATTTTTTCTTGTTTAAACTTACCACCATTGCTTCAATTTTTTTTTCACCACAATGAAAAAGTGACGACTCGTGACGAGCATGAATTCAGGAGAGCCTATTTTCGCAGCTTTTAAAATTAACCACCAGTGCGCAATGTCTGGCAATGTGTACATTTTGACAATCGGCGCGTCGGTTGGCTAATAAAAGAGAGTACTTATATTTTTAATGATGAAAAACAAAACCTCAAACCTAGGTTGCTAAGTAGACCACTGACAGCAGAGATATTATTATCTCTGCCACTGAAAGTGGTAAGACCCTCTACGACCTACGACCCCATATATTGCGCCGAGGGTGAAACTCGTCATCGTCGTGACGACGAGGTCGTCTAGTCGTAGGTACCCGTGGGGGTTGCGAGCGTTGCTTGTCTCGCTTCTCGCGGCTGTCCCGGATCTCCGATCCCGGATACTTATATACATGTACATGGACAAGAGGCACAGTGGTACACTAGGAAACTATCATGAATCTTCAGACTCTCTTCCAGGACTTTAATCCCAGGTACGCAATATCCTTTTGTTTTTAATTTAAAACAAGAGTACTTTTTTTATTTGATTGCTGGCTCGTGGTTTCGCGAAACGTAGAGTGTTTGCATAAATTGCCGATGTCTAGTGTTCCGCTATCGCTCAGATGACATGTTTACAGGGTAAATATATCTTTAAATAATTATTTACCGACTAATTGTCAAACAATCGGTATTATTTATTCTCAATCGAGGAACCTAACCTCACTTTCTGTGTCGCGCGCGCGGATGTGTCGATTTATTTGACATTTTATTCTTTCGTAACAATTGACAGATCAATGATTACAAAAACTTTTTTCATTACAAAGTCATGTCTTTGTAAACAAACATTATAATAATCAAATCGAAAACACTTCCTTGTCCTGCAAATACAATCGGAGTTACATAAAACGTTCTATTTTTAGAACTTGAGATTATTTAACTGAACACTACTTAGTTTTGCATTAAATTTGTAAAACAAGGGCACCTAAAGTGTTTTCGTTTAGATAATTTGTGTAATTTTCAACAACATTATTAATTTGTGCTACGTCACACAATTTTCGTGTCATATACATTTATTTACTATGCAGCAACCAAAATAGGTCATATGATATTTGACTGTACTGCCACTATGTACAATAAGTATTTTATTTGTGGGGTAACAATCACAGAAGTCACAGTAATAAAGATGCATTCTGATAAATTTATATCATTATTATCACCATAATTACCTTTTTTATCATCATCATTATCATCATAATCATCATCATCATTATCATTATAATTTTTATGATTTTTATT